CAACAATGAAAACAATAAAGTTTTCTAATGCATTTACCAACCAAGAAAGCTTAACCCATTATCTACTCATTGGTATTTTCAAACATTGTTATTAAGTTACTTATTAAGTGTTGATACAGAGATATAGCTATTAATATTTATAAAAATAATTCTTCCGAACTATTTATGCTTATATCTAAGTTCAGATTTGCATTTTGTCGACTTTATGAAATTTTTGAAAAATAATTGCAATAATAGTTTGATCTTCTACTTCCCTAGTAGAGCACAGGGTCACCCGATATATAATAATTATTCGGATATAGCTAATAAGTAATAAAAGTCCGTAATAAAGAACTTGATGGCGGTATTATATATACTCATATATACTAAGCATATAAATAGTTTTGTCAATAATAAAACTTGAATATAAAGCTTATAATTAATTCAAGTCAGCATATTACATTAATATGAATTGTTAATCTCATCTTAAATATTAAATATATTAATCTAACAAGACCTATCTCTTGTTAGAATCTTAAGTAATTGAAGCATTTATGTATTTAAGCCTAGAAACTCTATTAAAAACTCTATATCTAAATATTCTCTTTAATATTTTTATGATTACCTCTATGACATTTAATGCAATGTTCAAGAAGAAAAGTCCATTGTAAATTATTATCTGATTTTATCGATTTGTTTCCACAATAATCAGGCTTTCGGTAACAGGCACGTCTTTGATGACTTCCGAATCATTGATAACTTGCCGGTTTTTGTTAACTTTCAAACCTTTGATAAGCCATAACACACAGGTCTGTGTAATAACGCATAGGGCTTCGCTAATTTGCAGGTCTTTGGTAACTTGAAGGTCTTAGGTACTTTCAAGCTTATTGTATCATGCAAATTTTTAAATTACAAAAAGTAGTGCTGGACTAAATAGGACAGATATAATAAATTACACTAAATAAATTGGAATATGTATTATTTTATTGAATAAACTTGTAATTATCAAATAAATAAATAAATTGGAACTCCTATTAATAGTACAAAAATATTATTAATATATTCATTTACTAATATTTGAAATACGTTCCAAGAAATTCTAAATATTTTGATTTTCGTTCCTTGATGTCTAACTGAGTGTATCTGGGTTCAAAGCCAAATACCTTAAATTTGCAATCTAAAAATCATAGATGATCAATTAAACACAATAAATGTTTCCAAATTAATCGGAAAACTTTACTTAAGCATAAATTAAATATTATAATTAAAAATTTCTTCACTATATAATCCATTCTTATTTAACTACTGTATTTGGCAAATGACTTAGAATAATTATTAATTAAAAACAATAAAAGTCTAATAATAAAAATGAGAAATATAAGTCCTTGGCTGTATTTAATTAATTATAGTTTAATTATTGAATTAGCTGCCTTAAGTCATGTTAAGGCAAATATTGTAATAATATATTATGACTAAGCTAACATAGTAATAAATAAAGATAAATATATGTGAGAATATTCAGAAATAAAAATTTAATAATCAATAAATTTTAATAATTGAATTTATGTGCATAAAACGTCTTTAATTGTGAATGTATTGTGTATAAAAGCTGAATTCCAAACAATTGGAAATAAAATTAACATAAATTTTTTTACAATATAATAAAAATTAAGTTTTATGCTTAAGATATAAATCATAGAAAAATATTAAAAAATTTATTCGAATTGTTATTTTTATTGGTTTCAAATTTAAATAAAAACATGTCTTTATATCGTCTACATTAAGTATTCAATTATTTTTCTATAAATTAGCACACTACAAAAAATAAACAATATAGTATCTATTTTAATTAAAAAAAATTAAAAATGTCATTGGTTTGACTTTAGTAAATTTATAACATCTTTCAGGGACCTCAAGAGTTCTGAAATTATTTACGAAAACTGACAGACTTACCAACACCGCCTTATCGAATCTCAGGCCAATTATTGCTTAGTCTGATGAAATGATAAACAATAATCCATTCGGGGCGTAAAGAAGATACCATTCAGGGTGTTGAAGATACCTTGCATTTAATAGAGAGTAAAAGTGCACTAGTGCACTGGCTCAACTAGGTTCAACATAATATGCGAATGTAATTAAATGGATTTCTATCGATCGACAATCCAACAATTTGGTAAAGAATTTGTGGTTTAAAAGGGCTCTAACTACTCCTTCACATAATGTGTCCTTAATGACAGAATAACAATAATGCGCAAGATAAAAAACTTCGTAAGGAGTCTTTTTATCTTTGCAAAAAAATAAATTTGTCATCTTTAAAATTTTATCACAAAATATATCTCTTCATTTGGATTATTAGTTTAATATATCAAAATCTAATTAAACATTACACCTTACCTTGCTCGCATAAAAGTCGTTCTAGTCATATGGTGTCCCTAACGTATATTAACGAAATCGGGATTGGTACGGCGGTATAAGTTGTTTTTTTTTAATTCGAGAAAAATGATCTTCATAACATCTTTGGTTTTCTGCGAGTTAGTGACAATCTCTGTGTCCACGAGCTGTATAAGTTTGATGACGATATTGAAAAAACTGACCCCGAACTAACATGAAGTGGCTTCGTTGGCTTGATTCTTGCGTGAAAATAGATGAATATTCTATAGCGAAAACGTTGTTTGAAACTGTGGTTGGAAGAAGAACGCGTAAAAGTAGATCGAGTCACGGGTGGACGAGCACTAATCACACATGCATGCTGCACATGCAGCTGAGGTACCAGTAATCAGTTGTTA